AATTTGCAATATCGATTACAAAAATTCGATGCAAGTAAAATCGAACTACTCTCGTAGTGTAGACAAGGCCTAAGACTGATATAAGGGCCTAAATTACAGCTCATTGTACTCAATGGAAAACACCCACCGACTGATCAGGCCGTAAACAAGTGCAGAATCAGGCTAAGGAAATTTAGACTGAATATCGGAAAAACATACTAACAGTGAACTCAGACTGGAATAATCTCCCTAGGGAAGAACTGAAAGGCCCAGTCCTAGGGACACTAGGATTCTAGGGTGAAATCCTGGCTCTTATTGAAGTCTGTTGCAAAAGTGCCATTTACTTCAGTAGGATCAAGACAGCCCAGCAAGCAGGTGCTTGGGGCGGCCAAGGGGAAGGGGCAGCATGTCGGGCTGTTCTGTGGCAATTCGGCGGCGGGTCCCTCTCGGAGGGAAGCACCTGCTGCCGAATTCCCGCCGAAGAAGAAAGCAGCGCAGTGGAGCTGCCGCCGGAGTGCCGCAGATCGCAATTGCGATCGCGGCTTTTTTTTTTTTTTCCCCCACCGCTTGGGGCGGCAAAAACCCTGGAGCCTGTCCTGGATCGAGATGCTACCCCACATATTAAATATATAAAATATAGACACTTATGCCTATGAACTGACATAAGCACAATGTACCATCATGTTATAATCAAAATAATCAAGTTTCCTGGTTCCTCCCTAAAGCAGTCAACTGAAATCAACACCGATAAATGGCCATTGACTTAGAAGATGGTATCACAGTGAGTTTCGTCATTTGGATTAAATCTGCCCTCAAATACTGGCTTGCAAAATATGACACTTCTCCCTTTTACAATGTTTTCATTTTTTTCTAAATAATTTCATGCTAAAATATCAACTTGACCCGATTTTAAACCATGTCACAATCTGTCTCCAACTTTAAAGTCGTATGTACAAAAAGCAGTGCACTATAAAATGGTTCACTCTTGAAAACCCCTTGAGTATCTTCCCCAAGAAAAACATTCATCAAAATATCTCATCACCTTCATTGATCCAGTACTAAAGTTACTTGGTATTTCTCATTTGCAGCAATGTAACTAAAAGCCAATCTCTACTTAAAGTTTAATGCCGATGTAGTTTTTCTGTCCTAGAGGACTTTGGTGTTGAATAGAGAGCCAGTGAGAAAGCCCCAATGATAGTTAGGCTAATGATAATGGAGATACCAATTGAACCAGCTGTTTGAGAGAAAGAGAGAAGAGGTGAGGAAGCTAAGAGCCAGTCACGGCGAGCGTTCATGTCTATAAAGATGGCCTCCATTTGGAAGTGCGTGCCAATGATCCCACATACATGGAAAAGCTGGTGGCTGTGCCCTGCAACAGAGTCAAAAATATTTAACAAGAAATTTCTCTGGGTTTCATTAAAATACACCTCTAACAGCTTTGAAAATCTTATGTGCAAAAATTCAATTTATTTATTTTACTAATTTATATTGCTCTTATTGTGATGCTGCTAAACTAAGGCAATTGTCCATCTGGAAACTCACTGAATCCCTGCTTATCATAAACCGAAGCTCTGCCTTGTCCTGTGATTCTGCCATGACTACAAACTAAGTAGAACTTGGCTGGATCACTGCTTGGATGGGAGACCACCAAGAAACACCTGTGTGCTGCAAGAAGTAGTACTGATGAGTCAGTCTTTCTTTCAACTCAGTACTGTGTAGCATGGCACGATGGTGTAGATTGGGTCGGCAACTTTTCTGAAGGGGTGTGCCGAGTCTTCATTTAGTCACTCTAATTTAAGGTTTTGCATGCCAGTAATCCATTTGAACATTTTTAGAAGATCTTTTTCTATAAGTCTATAATTTATAACTAAGCTATTGTTGTATGTAAAGTAAATAAGGTTTTTAAAATGTTTAAGAAGCTTCATTTAAAATTAAATTAAAATGCAGAGCCCCCCCGACCGGTGGCCAGGACCCAGGCAGTGTGAGTGCCACTGAAAAATCAGCTCGTGTGCCGCCTTCAAAACACGTGCCATAGGTTGCCTACCCTGGTATAGATTTTTGGATGGCAAAGAACCACTTTGTGGTCATTAAAGATTCTATGATACTTCTTGAAACAACAGGTCATTGGAGATGGCTTCTTGCACAACTATGCATGGCTACTCTAACCATGAGTGTGAAACAGTGAATGCATTTTCCTGATATGAACCATTTACTCTGCTCCGGATACATTATATCCCTCATGAGATGCCCAAGCTTCCGTGCTCTTAAATGCTGGAAATAAAAAATAGCAAAGACAAGAATCACAGTGTTCTGCACTCACCAATATAGTCAAAGCGTCCCGGTGCAAGTCTCTCAGGCAAATGGGCAGCAAAAATGAAACAAGTGAGGAAGGCAAACACACAGTGCCTGTAGTGGACTGGGATTACGCTTTCCACGCAGCTTTCCCCAGTACACAGATATAGCTGTGATATCAAAAGGAAAAATTACACATGGGGTACCAAGAAAAGGAAAGTTAGAGAACTACTGAAGAATACCTCTAGATTGGGGCCAGATTTGCTGCTATGCTAAGGTCCCCTGGCCTCATAAAACGGCTAGAGGTGGCTCATGGAGTAGTCACCCCACACACCAGAACGCTCCACTAGCAGAAAGCTTGCAACCCCTGCCCCCTGTGCTAGCCACTTCTTCACTTCCAGTGTAAGCCGAGAGTGGGGCTAGGGCAGGGGCATTCATACATTGGGGCATGGGTGGGATCAACAATGAAGTGGGCGTGGTTATATCTGAGTCTTATTCGCCACTGGTGTAAGGTCACTAAGGGCCCTTATGCCAGTGTTGTTAGTTAAAGCCTTTTTCCTTGGAGCTTCAGTTTAGACTGTGGCTGGGAATCAGATAAATTCAGTCAGCTCCTGTGCCCTCCATGCTGGGACACAGTGGAGAATCAAGCCCAAGCTGTCTCTATATAACAGGGCTTTCTTGTCTGTCTGTTGCATGTTTCCAAAGAACACACCACCTATCCCCGTAGCCCTATATACCAAGACGATGAGGCTTTGCCATCTTTGACTACTAGCCATCTTAGTCTGAGGACTAAAAGTGGCCACTTCGGCTGGATTATTGTACACTGGGATCTGGAACACTGTGGGCAGAGCCCAGTAGTAGATATGAGAGCCGATGCAATCATCTCTATTTTATGCAAATTATGGTCCAAATACTGATGACCTTACTCAGGCAGAACTCCCACAATTGGGCCAAGGGCAGCTTTTGGGCTCATGGTAAATTGCCAATGTGTTTGAGTGCCCCTGTACTGAGCACAAAATAATCTGTACATCAACAAATATTTGGTAAAAATAGCCAAACACTGTTTTCTAGCTCATATAGTTTTCCTTTAAAAAAAAAAGTCTGTATATTTTCCTAAATACGCTCAGTCTCATGTTAATAGCCAATAGTTACTTCGCTACAGGAAGCCAATGTATTTTATGGGACCTTAATAAAAGTGGAATGTTCACTGCATACCCTGTAGAAGAGAGGCGTGCTGTCGAACAGGTACGGATATGCAAAAGCCAGCATGCGAAGACTTTTACTGAGCCGGGGCTGCTGTATCTCGGGGAACCTACATAAGAAAGCATTTCAAATTACAAAATCAAGGCAAATAAGGATTGTGGAACTGCCAGGGATATTTTCGAAGGAACTGTGGCTTGCAGAACATGCTTTTTATGTAAATTTTTTGCACAAGCCATATTCTCATAGTTGTAGTAATCTATACCAGCATACAAAAAGCTGTCGAAGTCCAGAAGTAGGGCTGGAGAAATTAAAGTCAAATTACAGCCATCCTCAATTTGTTTTTGCAACTAATTATTGTGAAACGTGGTAACAAACAAGCCACATAAATGTCCAGGTTTGTTCTAACAATGGCCTTGTTTATAATGTATCAATCAGCTGAATTATGCGAAGACTGGTTAAAACTGTGGGCCTGGCCCAGCTCTACTGAAGTCAATGGAAAGACTCCCATTGCCTTTACCATGAATGGATCAGGCCTTTTGAGACAGGGCACCCACAATCATTCCCCACTTCCTTGGCTCTCATGTTGTAGATAAGACAATTAAATTGAAAATAGCTGAATCTTGCACTAATACAGGAGCCATAGCAGGCCAGTCATCATCAATAATAAGGAATGATGAATGGAGCAGACGGACATCTTGATTCTACAATTCAGCAAACTTCCATGTTGGGTCTCCAGCCTGATTGCTAGTATTGTGGTGTGCTGCTGTGTCACTGTGGTGACAGAGTCCAGCACAGACAGACACTGGGAGCAGTGTTGGAATTGCTGGTTCCTTGTGTGGTTCTTTCCAGTTGTTTTCTGCAGGCCACAGTGGAATTAGCAGCATATTGAGGAGTCTGTAGCCATTTCCATGATGGCTGAATCACACAAATTTATTTCCCAGATTACAAGATTCTTACCATTGAGTAAAATCACTGAACAGCAAACAAATCAGACACAATTTTCTAAGCTCTGATTGACTAAAATGGATGTCTCTTCTAGATGTAGATTGGCATGCTAATCTTCAACACCGACTCTGAGAACAACTTTGAAAGTATGAAATCTTTTTACATCATCTTGGCACACATTTCAAAGCAGTATTAATGGCCTAAGGGAAAACACTGAGAAAGTGCTTCCTTTAAAATTTAGCAACATCTGTCATAGGTCAGTTGGAAAAAAACAGAGTTTACTTCTTTAAATAGTTGCCAAAGTTATAGTTATTTTGACCTCTGAGTTTTTGTACTGCTTCATCACAGGGGCTAGATATTGAACTCAGTGTTGTCATAAAAAGAGATCTATTTATATTGGATTACTTGTAAGTAAAGCAGCATTCATGCCATGGTCATGAATGTTGATTCATTAAGTTGAATCACAGTTTCGGTTTACAATGCATGACACGTGTCTCAGAATACTTACATTTTACATCCGGCCAAGATTTTGTAAATGCAGCATTTCAGGGAATACAAACATATCAGCTAAAATTCAAAATAAAATAAATCTGGCCCTTATTACCTTTCTATGACATCACTGTTATAATGGAGGTATGGAGCACCAAGCCTGTTGATTACAATCATATGGTAAATGAGAAGGAAAGAGTATGTTTGGGTGGAGACATATATGCTGGAATTTGTTAGCACTACCAAGAAAATTGTTGAGATGCACTTTATACTTTGTTGGTGCAAAGTCTAACATAATTTAACAGTCCTCAGCAAATGTGCAAAGAGCTGAAAGAAGTGGTAATTGTGCCAAAGAGGAGAGTTAGAAAGAACACCACACCTTTCAGCAGAAAAAACATGTTCATAGGTGACTCATTTACTCAAATGAAGAGCTTGAGATTCCAAACCAAGACAGAACCAGAAAGAGACATATTATTGCTCAGTGGTACACATACAAAGTTCATAGTAAATGTGATGCATTACCATTCTATTCAGGTCAGAAATCCAGTTGGAATATCAGTGATCACAGACACTTCACTTATCCCTTAGAGTCGGATTCCTCTATGTCTGATATGGCAGTCACTCCACGCACAATACTCTCAGTGCAATGAGCCCAATTCCATCTTGTGTCATTTATAAAGTGGGTGTAAAATGACACCATACTAATTTGGTAACATCAAGCACCCAGTTTGCATTGGTGAATGAAGATGCCAGTTGCAGGGCAATGGTAAATTGGCACCTCTCCGTGTGATTTTTCTCATGGATTGAGCAGAAAAGGCCCAATGTTTACAAAGTTATTCAACCTCACAAGCAAGGCCAGCGAGAGGTTATGGGCACATATCTTCAGTAGTCTGTGTTTTCACTCGAATTGAATTATGAAAGATCCACTCCCTCACCGTTAAGAATTTTCCATACCAAAAGAGCTCTACTACCGATGCAACCTCAAATGTACCCTAGAAGGAAGTGAAGAGTTCAGATAGGGCAGGTCTACTCACGACCCAACGAGCACAGGCCTGTTCCCCCGACCTCCGTAGGAATTTTGCCACCGAGTTCAGCGCAAGTAGGATATGGCCCAGTTTCTTTTTCACACCATTCATTTGTAAACTGCATGTGCATTTGTATGACAATTACTGCCGGGCACAGCCCTGATCTGATACTCACAAATCAAGGAATGAACACAGCGTCCATTGGTTTTGTATTTGCATTTTATTTATTTTAAAACTAAAACCAAAAAACAAAGATGAGGAGTGGACGATAGATGGGGAAGAAACCAGATCATTTCCAACCCCAATATTCCTAGAAGAGAAAAATGGAAGCCTCAGTTAAAACTATTGTTTGCAACTCTCGTGGTACTGTGGGATATTTAGTTGTGTGAGAGTGGTTTCTCATGGCAGACTCAACTGTGTTTTTCTACCTTTCATTTCTTTTAGCATCCTAAAAAGAGAAGAGAGACAGGCCTTGATCCCGTAAATCCTTCAGCGGTGAAGCACAAGTGGAGACTGGTTCCATGTGAGGGCAAGGAAAGATAAGCATGGGGTGTAGTATGGCAAAAGTAAGCCTCAAATCTCTTTCATCCCTGCTCCGAAGTGTGGTTACATACAGTGTATTGAATGGGTGTGTCTTGATGCTAATTTGGGTTGTCTTAACTCTGCATTTCTTCCTTAGGTCTTATTCTTGCTATCAAGGAGAACTAACTTGGTAGCTACGCAGCAGTTGTTTCATTACTGCAAGTTCAAATTTCTCACTGCTCCTTGTCCTTGCACCTTCTACATGCAGCATTCTGTGCTCATGTCATCTAAGGCACCCTGCCAACTTCTCAGCTCATTTAACACCCCGTCTCTGCAAAACAGTTCTTTGTAACTCTCCGGACTTTCTGAGCAATGAACTAGATCAGTGTTTCTCAAACTTTTGTACTGGTGACCCCTTTCACACAGCAAACCGATGAGTGCGACCCCCCTTATAAATTAAAAACACTTTTTTGTATTTAACACAATTATAAATGCTGGAGGCAAAGCGGGGTTTAGGGGTGGAGGCTGACAGCTCGCAACCCCCCATGTAATAACCTGGTGACCCCGAGGGTTACGACCCCCAGTCTGAGAACCCTTGGGCTAGATACTTACTAGTGCTCTTCAAATTAGATGCGAAGCTGGCTCCCAACAAAGCTCTGACACAATTTGGACCTCTGTGAAAGCCTGTTGTAAGCTCTGCAGACTTTGGGTATGGAAAACGATGATGAGCCTATTGGCTTTCTTTCTATCCTCCTTGTAAGGTGCTGAGCTTCAGGTACAAGTGTAGATTCCATCCCATCCTTCATGTCCTCATGCCACCCATTCAAATACTGCTGTGCTACTATTCGCCCCGCATTTTGCTACTTCTTTTTAGCAATGTACAAATCTACATTTACTTCCATTTCTGAAACACAACACCAATTCTTCAGCCCAGGTGCGCAATAATCCATGGGATTTTATGTTCTGCAAGAAAAGTTTAAGTGAGATGCACCAAATCCCAGAAATACTTCTCTGTTTTCTTCCATATGTCCTGTCTTTATTCTAGCTCCATGTGGGAATCTGAAGGGAGATGCCCAAGTTCTCAAGCATGCGCGAGCTCTTGAGATACAACTGCTGCACAGATGTTAATTCAGTGGGTGAGAAGGATATGGGAAGAAGTAGGAAGTTCTCAGTGAGAGAGCAATGGAGGCATCCTGCTTCCCCTAAAAGTCAAAAATAAGTTCGTTTTCAGCCATTTTTATACACTTTCACATTTGACAATTCAGTATTCATAAAGTACATAAAAGGAAAAAATGCTTTATTACTGATTCACCAATCAGCTATCCAGTATTGGAAGAAATTCCTGAGAAGCTGGTAAGAGCTGGTATGGTAGGTTTATAGAAACACTAACTTTTTTCTGATGACCATGATAAAAGTTCCTGCCCTCATCAAGAAGTTCCATCTTCATGCTGATACACTGATTCATATTCCTGTTGATCTTCATGAGGAATAGTATGAAGTGATTAAGATGGATGGGTACATAGAATCATAGAAATGTAGGTCTGGACGGGATCTTGAGAGGTCATCTAGTCTAATCCCCTGTGCTGAGGCAGGACCAAGTAAACCTTATTCTGCTGCTCTCGCTTTCCTTTCCTTAGAATCATGAAATCTATCATTTCATGGGCACTTTCATCCAAATTGCCTTCCACCTTCAGATTCGCTACCAGTTCCTCCCTGTTGGTCAGAATCAAGTCTAAAATGGCTCTCGCCCTGGTTATTGCCTCCACTTTCTGAAATAAAAAGTTGTCCCCATTACATTCCAAGAATTTATTGGACATTTTGTATTTTGCTGCATTATTTTCCCAACGGTTGTCTGGATAGTTAAAGTGCCCCATTACTACCAGGTCTTCTGTTTTGAATATTTCTGTTATTTGTTCTAGAAATGTCTCATCCACTTCTTCTTCCTGATCTCGTGGTCTACTGTAGCCCCCTACCATGATGTCACCCGTATTTTTCCCCTTTTATCTTTACCCAGGGATTTTCAACTGGTATGCTTCTCACCTCCTTCTAAACCTCAAAACAAATGTATATATTCTTGATATATAGTGCAACATCTCCTGCCTTTTTCCCTGCTTGTCCTTCCTACACAATCTCTACTAATATTCCAGTCATGAGATTTATCCCACCAAGTTTCTGTGATGCCAATTAAGTCATAATTTAGCTTATGTACTAATACTTGCAGTCCCTCCTGTTTATTCCCCATACTTCTTACATTTATGTACAGGCATGCTTGTTGTTAAAGGCTCCAAGTACCCGAAGGAATCCTACCAGGACCCATGAATCTTTCTCCATTTTTAGTTATTGTAGAGCAAGTAAAAATAGTTGCCAACTGCTTGATGTCCCATTCGGACAGGTTAATACTGAGATGGCTGTAATCTGGAGCTGCAGGCTGTTTGATGGTAGTGGCTACAGATTATACAGTGGCTGGGATTAATAACCAGACCCATGCAAGCTACTTTGCTGTTTACGACCACCTCAATATTAACCTGTCCAAATGGGACATGGAGCAGCTGCCAGCTGTCAGATACTTAAGTAGCGTCAAAGGCAATGCTGAACAATGCTTCAAAAATGTGGACACTTGTATAGCAGCATCCATGGTTCAGGCCTTTCAGCGGCCTCTGGGGGGACCGCATGACATCAAGCTTTCTACGAAGCTGCAGGTCTATAGAATGACAGTTACGCCAACTCTGTTGCACAGAAATGAAACGTGTGTGCATCGGAGGGCTGAAGATCACTGGACTGATGGTTCTAATTTTCATTGTCTCCGTCATCTGCTCCATATGAAGTGGCAAGACAAGATCAGAAATGAAGATATTCGAAGCCAAATCCAACAATCATCTCCATCAGGGCTGGATCAGTTGCAGCAGCTTTGTTGATATGGATATATTATAAAAACGGAAGACCAATGAGTTCTGATGCATGCTTACCAATGAATGCTGTTACCCCGCCGGTGACCATGTGGGTGCCAAACACTTCGGTGGCATGACAAGGTTGCCAATGATGGACAGAAACCTCAATATATAACCAGACAACCTTAAGCACCATGCCAAAGATCAATCCGGATGGCGATTGCTTTACAAGAAGGCAACGTCCCTTTGGGATTTGCCAAGATGATGATGATGAAGTGCAAATGGCCTCAGTATTAATCAACCTGAAATCGTTATACCGTATTGTTGCAACTACATCATCTTTTACTCACTAAAATGCTCTACATGCCTATGAAAGTTAGTGCCCCGTACGTTTGAAGGAGTGGAAATATACCTGTTTATTGGTAGATGTGGTTGTGACGGGATCCCCCCAGTGTGCAGCCTGGGACTGTGGGACCACTGTGCCCCCTGAACTCTCTCCAGCCTGGGCTGTCTCTCACAATGCCTTGCTAGTGACCAGCAGCAAACCCTTCCAGGCGCTGTGATCACACAGCGCAACAGCATGTGGAGCCCCACACCCAGCTAGATTGTGTGAATGCTCCCAGAGCCACTCACGAATCACACAGAGAAAGGCACCAACCAAATCCCCCCAGCTCCCAGCACTGTGCCCCAGGAATATACCGTCTTGCACTGCTCAAGACGAACAATACAGATTTATTAATTGGTTCACCACTTCAGCAATGGAAAGTGGATATACAGCAGCCTTTGCAAACCTGAGCAGATTTGCCACACACTTCATACAAACTCACTGGTAAAGATAAACAGTAAAACAAATTTATTGACTATAAATGGTAGATTTTAAGTGATAGGCAAAATATCAGAGTTAGTTACCAAAAGAAATAAAATATGACCACGCAGTCTAAACTCTCAACCCTATTAGACTGGGCAACAACTAGACTAAGCAGTTTTTCTCACCCCACTGGATATTGCAGTCCTTAGTATACAGATGTCCCCCTTGAAACCTGGGCCAATCTCCTCTGTTGGAGTCTTGCTTGCCGCGTAGGTGGGGGAAGGAGAAAGGCCAAACATGTGGCCACTCTGTTTTATACCCTCAGTCCATGTGCTTGGAAAACAAGTCCAGGCATGTCTGGGTGGGCCTTGCTGAGTCCCCAGGCAAGGCTGAGTAATTCCCCTGTTGTGGCTTCATGCAGGTGAATCATTTCATCATAACTCCCTTGCTGGACAATGGTTGTTGAGGGGTTGACTGATACCCCACCCGGGCGTTGGTTACTTTCCTTGCTGTTGCCTCTGGGGAGCTAATATCTGGCTGATTCCCCAACTTACAGCATGGTTTAGTGACCACTATACAACACAATCTCATAACTTCATATTAATTAATGATATACACATATGGACAGAGAAATTACTTTCAGCAGGTCATAACCTTTCCCCTGATAATCTAAAGCATGACTTGTAAGGTAAGATCACAATAATATATAAATGAGGAATATGGGGATTCCAGGACACTCTCCCAAGATATAGAATGTCACAGTGGTTTTTCTGTGAATGGTCATAAAAGCTAGGGTAGATGTGGATGGCTCAAGATTGCATTGGCCTACTACTGAGAGTAGTTTTTTAAAAAGACAAGCGAGAGATTCATGGGTGGCTGCACTTCTAAACGTGTTAGACTGCATTGCTTCCAACATTGGCCATTCCGCAGTTTGGACCAAATTTTGCTCTGTTATAGTTCACATTGATTTTGAGGAAGAGTTGCACTGGCATAACTCAGCAGAATCTGGTCCTTTAGCTATAGCAATTAAGATTACAGAAGGATTCTGTGTTATATGAAAGCAAATGAGATTTACTACTGTCACTGAGCACTAAATTTCCTGCATGGTGCTGAATGCCTTAAACTCCCAGGGACTCAGTCAGTCCCATTTTCTCTCCAAACTTTTCCTGTTGAAGCAGGCTCTCTGCCCCTTGCGTGGCTCATTGCACCCTTTGGGAATGCAATCGTGAGTTAGCCACTTACATAAACAAGGAAGAGGACTTTGGCGAAGAGACATTCACAAAACTATGGATTTTACGGAACTGTGCACTCCTAGTGTATTTCACTGAACATCAAGGCCCCCTGGGGAAAATGATTCCATGCCACAGGGTGGCATTGCTCTTCCTCTGCAGCTGCGGGCCTGAGCCTAAAAGAAAAAAAGAAAGGAGAGAGACAGACAAAAAGAAAAGAATAGATGGAGAGTCTGGTAGCTAACAAAGTCATTGCTGGCACAGTATAAGCTGAAGCTCCGTGCTACTGCAGGTCATTTGACAGGGAAGCTCCATTTTGCATGAATGAAGTTAGGGAAATATATAAAAGCTTCTGATAAGAGTTCAGCGTCAACTGCACAGAGATATTCTCTGATTTTATTATATGTTTATTATTAATAATAGAGAAGTTACCTACTCACAGGGGACAACATTGCACTGCCGATTGTGAAGCAACAGGATGGTTTGGTAGGAAGAGGAAGATGTCTCTAGGATTCAAGAATGATAACTAGGGCAAGAGCTATTATCCCAGCAGAGATGGCAATTAGAAATCAGTGGGCCTCATTCTCCACTCAGACTGGTGTAAATCAGGAATAATATTATTTGAGTCAATGGAATCACCCTGCTGTAAAGTTAGAGCAGAATCAGGCCCTCTAGCCACCATTTCTGCTTACTTGGGAACCTTTTTTTGACTTGTTAAAATGGTGATATTTGACACTTCAGCATTGCTGAGACAACAATGTGACACTGTCTTATCCGATCTATTTAGTGCTGTAAAATTTTTACATGACCATATCTACAGTTCTGCAATTGGGTGATGCTGGCATTTCAATTTGTAAATTAAAAAGAATTTAAAAATAGGTTTAAAAGCTACACTTGGACTGGTCAAACTCATTGACATTTCATAACGGTGTTAGCCTGGTAATACTTGAAATTGTAAAAGCTAGAGTTAACCACTGTCTTCATTTGTCTAACCAGACAACAGAAATCAAAAAAGTCAACCAACACAAAAGAGGAGGGAAAAACAAACAAAAGAAGAGAGAAACAGAGGGAAAAAAGAAAAAAGGAGAGGGAGAAAAAAGGCAAGACAAGTGGGATGGTCTAAAAATATCCGTTCCTAATTCTGCAGTTCACATAATACTTGGTACTAAAATTAAAATGGAGGCAAACCTGCAGCCCTAACTCTAGTGAGTAGTCCTCTGCAAGTACCCTACAGAACTCAGTAGAGCTACTTCTGTGGCTGGATCAGGACCCATCTGGGACAGCCAAGCTTTGCAGCATGATTTTGGTAGACCCATGTACTGCTATGCTATCAATTTGTTCGCCCCTGGAGTTGCTTCTTTTCTCTGCTACAGCAGAATCACCTCTGCTGCTGTTGGTGTTTTACCTTTGGGAATTCAGCTCTCCCTGTTCTATGGCAATATCATTTCAAACGTATTTACATGCCAGCGAAGGCCCCGGGTCAGATGTGGACTTAGAGCCACTAAAGCGGATAGGGAAGCACTCCTCAATAAGCAGAATCTATTGTGGTGCTTTGTCCTGTAATGGACACACATGCTAATAGGAAAAACTGGGATCACTCCTCCAATAAAAGGACAATAAACTGATTACGCTGAACTATTCATGCAGCTCTAAAACCAAAAATCAGTTATCAGTTGCAGAGGCAAACTGTGTGTCATCCTAATGGTAGCGATTAATATTCTACAAAGAAGGCTTTAAAGAGGATTTCCATCAGAGATTTGGTAGGTAATTCATAACCAGAAGCTAGCTGAGTACTATGGAAGTTTTTAGAAATGTTGCTCAAATCCGAAAGTGCCAGGACACTTTCAGTTTATAATAAAGTCAGATTTTCAGGGCAGTTAGAGTTGAATGATTTTCTCCTGGTAAGCATACAGTACACGTCATGTTTATTACCCTTTACAAAGGAGGCAATTGGGTGCGAGGCCCCAATCCTGCAAACCCTTACGCACGTTCCTAACTTTATGCCCATGAGCAGTCCCCTTGACTTCAACGGGACTATCTGGGTGCTTAAAATTAAACCCATGCTTAAGTGTTTGCAGCACAGGGGCCCAAATTTCTTTACTCCATGTATCAGGCACACTGTAGTTAAAGAAAAAAACGAGTTACTTTAAGCAGACATATTAAACATAGTAAGATATCAAGCTAGCTTTCAGCAACTCTATAAATAAAGCTTTACCGATAAGTTATTTCACATGCTCTAGCTTCCCTGTATGACATGGTTCTAAAATTAAACGTCCTTTCCCCTTTCCTTTCCCCAGTGCACACAGCGTTATATATTCCAAAGCTACATTTGTAAATAAACCTGTTTTAGCAGTCACGGTGGGATAATCGGGAGGTAACTGTACCTGGAGTAGCAGGAAAGACCCGTGCTAATGACCGTGTTAAGCACAGCAATGGGTACATAACAGTGATGGAAAGTGCTATCGATCCATTCTTCTGGGAAAACATACGTTGAATAAGCAATCGCAGAGCCTGAAAATAAAATCAGTGCCCAGGTTAGTTTTGAATGTTATTAGTGCTCTTCAGTAACCTCCCGGGTAATTTGGTGATCTTGCAGGTTTCAAACAAGCAAACCTATGTTATCCTGTGTTTCTTGTAGACAGATCCTAGATATATTTCACTTGTAGCTCCCTCTGCAATTAAAGAAAGCTGCAAGGAAGGACAGGATTTCAGCACCTTGGAAAATGAAACCATTGATTTTTAAATAACCCTCCAGATTCAGGGGCAAGACTATCAGAAAAAGTCCATTGTTGTTTGAAGCTGACTGATATTGGATATGTAGTGTTGTTGTAGCTGTGCTGATCTAGAGACAAGGTGGTTGAAGTGATATCTTTTATTGGACCAACTTCAGTTGCTGAGAGAGGTGTCTGTCTCTCTCACCAAGAGGAGTTGGTCCAGTAAAAGCCATTACTTCACCTACCTTTGTGTCTCTGATAGTGGATAGTCTGCCATGGACTTGATCAGAGGTGTCTGCGAGTGGACTAGGGACCTTAATTTAACACATGTGAAACACAAAATAAGGAAAAAAGTTTCATCATTTCAGATACTAGGTTAAACACTTCATTAATTAGAGCTTTGAAACTGGTCTGTATCACAGAACAGAAACAAATTGACTTAGTACAATAGCATTCCCCTATTTATTGGCAGCCCAGCCTGATAACATTCTATTCTAGCTATGTTTATACCTCTTTTTCTGGTAGAAAAAATTAAGGCAAATTATGTAGCCCTGGGCTGATTCTGTTCTCACTCACATTGGGTTTTATGCCTGTGCAATGCCATTGACTTCTTAAATATAAATAAATAAATTAATTAATATCCTATCTCCTAGAACTGGAAGGGATCTTGAAAGGTCATTGAGTCCAGCCCCCTGCCTTCACTAGCAGGACCAAGTATTGATTTTTGCCCCAGATTCCTAAGTTGCCCCCTCAAGGATTGAACTCTCAACCCTGGGTTTAGCAGGCCAATGCTCAAACCACTGAGCTATCCCTGCCCCCCAACTTCAGTGGAGTTCCTCTTGATTGACCCCAGTGTAAGCAAGAGAAGAATCTGGCCCAGAACCTTTTGTTTTTTCCTGTTGTAAAGTGACAGAATTGTAGTTTGCTTCAGCCTGCTCCTTTCAGGTATTTTACAAAAAACGAAGAGCCCGACCCTGCAACCAGTCCTAACTCAGGCATTTCCCCAGCAGTGAGTGCTAGGGCTAAGTCAGGACTGCAAAATCGAACCCTTCAATGGATTTTTTTTAAATTGCAGGGGAGATGTTCGTACGTTTCTGTTATATTTATGTGGTTGCCAGCGTATATGCTTTCTTCAGTGTGATTCATATTTATGCTTGAATTATTTCATTAAGTGCTGAAGATAACTTTATCGTTCCAGTTGCTGTCAGCACAACTTCCTTGTAACAGAGATGACGCATCCCACGGGGCCCATTCCTTTACAAATATCATAAATAAACCCAAAGGCAGTAACTTCATGTCAGGATCTCTCTGATTTATAAGCAAGACAGCCAGGTCCCTCTGGATCCTTATGTAGATGCAGATTAGACACATCACAGAGGGGAAACTCTGACTCAGAGCAGGGTACTTTCAGCAACCCCTTGCATGACTGTGCATTGATAAGAATGACCAGCAACTTCAAAGGAGGCTGGACATGTCCCGTGATAATAGATAAAACATGCTATGTTGGCACTGCAGGAATGCAGAACATCTGAACCAGCAGGTTAGGTCTAATTTACCTTACTTAGTTTTTTGGGGGGCTATGGAGGTATTTGGATCGTGCGATTTCATCCTTTTACTCTGGGCATTAGCAAAATGGCAAAATCTAAAAACGTTGGTGACACGTGTTTTACAAGCCACAGGCCACTCCAAACCGAAACAGCAGGTGTAATCCATTGTAGAAAAAAGCATGGAATGAATTCACAAATGGTGAGATGGCCTGCATCTCCCTCGATGGTATCAATAAATAAAACCAGAGCTCTTCTCACACGGGTTGCATGTACTCCGCATTCTTTCTCTAGAGCCATAATAGTGTCAGGCCACCGCTTTGGTCCCCTCTACCTCCAAGATTAACCATTAACACATAGCACAGATTCATGATAGAAAAAATTCAGTTTTACTTCAGCGCTCCCAGACAAAGTGTCTTTACCAAATGTTAAAATGCAGGACTGTACTTCAACATTCTGCGGCTGGTAGTACAAGTATCTAGCAAGCCACGTCTTTGACTTCGGCAGGCATCAGAGTTGGATGAAGTGTGTGTGTGTCTGTCTGTCTCAAGCCCTGGGTGTGTCTTCAGCACAGTCATGTTGCAATAGTGAAGGACAAGAGGTCCTCCAATCTCCCCTTGCTAATCGGTGGAGCAGGATTTCAATTCTGGGGTTGATGCAGGACTTGACTTGGGGGGAACAAAAGTAGCTTTAAGCCACTTTTCAGCTGTCAATCTCTTAGTTCCTGGCATAAATACCAGCAGCCTCGGGACTTCCTGTGTGACTTCAGGCAAGGCATTTAAACTCTGTGCTTTAGTTTCTGTAACATGGGTATGACAATACTTCCATACCTCATGAAGGTGTTGTGAGCCTTACTTCATTAATGTTCATAAAGTGATTTGAGATCCTTGAATGGACGGTGCAAAGCATGAATTATTATTGACTGAAAAACACCCACAGCAGTCCCAAAATACTTAAGACATTAAAGACGAATGAGAAAAAAAATGAGACATTGGGCAACTTTTTCAAAAGTGCCTAAATGACTTAAAAGCCTAAGTCCTATTTTCAAAAGTGAATTAGGAGCCCATGTTCTATTGACTTTTAACTAGATTTAGGCTCCTAAATACCAAAGTCACTTTTGAAAATGGGGCTTAGGCCCAGATCTTTAAAGGTGTTTAGGTACATAATTCTTACTGATATCAATGGGAGCTAGGGGCTCCCATTGATATCCTTTCAGGATCTGGGCCCCAAGTCACTTGGATGCTTCTGAAGATGTTGCCAATTATTTTGTTACATATTTAACAAGACAATGTTTGGAGACTCTTACCTAAGCTGTACATACTAAGGGCACCATAATCAAAGAAATAACAAATATGTCTCGCCTGGATGGACATCGTACTGAATGTGTGAGCACAGCTAGATGTGAAAGGATAAATACAGCATGTGAGCATGTAGGCAAGAAAGGGCCAGGCATACACATCGTTCCAGATATCCAGCGAATAGGCCAAGGCAAACAACTTCCATAGGAAGTACCTGAAACGCAAAATACTGAGTTAGGACCTTGTGCGTTACTAGTGAAATGCCGCCCCATTGAAATCAGTGGCAAAACTCCCGTTCTCGAGGATTTCACCCTCACTGATTTATTGTTATTTTGTCAGAACTACAATGAATGCATTGATTATTATTTGAGTTCTCAGTTATATTTTCCTTGTCCCTCCATTAGAACATTTCCCACCCAGGTCCCATAATCCTTCAGTCACCGCCCCCCCCCCCCATCACCAACAGCCATCTACTTAGGGTGATTTTAAACATTTGAAAATACAGCAGTTAATAAAAACCAGCTCAAGTACCAGGCAGGCAAAAAGTGTGTCCATATATTTAGTGTTTCGTTTGTCATCTGGAAGGCACTGAGGAGACAGTCTGCTGCAGAACTTCTTGGATGCCGATACCCAAACAGGATGCCCTGCTCTCGAAACACCTGCAAGGGGATGATTAGAAGCGCGTTGTTTAGCTGGACTGTACAGTCTGTATATTTCACAGTGTGTCACAGGAATCTGAGCATGAGATGCCCAATCCTGCAGCTCAACTCCCACTAAACATCTCCTTGTAAAAGGAGAACTTTATCAAGCTGCAGAGCAGAATATTAATTCAGAAAGCATGCTACAAAGGAAGGCGAACACATGTTAACAGTGCAGTAGGGTTGCTGCAGAAACATGGTTGCATGTTCTCCTCTAGGACATGGGCTTGGGGGGTGAGGAACAATCGAGGTAATAGCTGCTAAACAGGGTCCTAAAAATGGCCATATTGGGTCAGACCAAAGATCCATCTAGTCCAGTATCCTGTCTTCTAACAGGTGCCCCAGAGGGAAGGAACAGAACAGGTAATCATCAAGTGATCCATCCCCTGTCACCCATTCCCAGCTTCTGGCAAAAGTATGAGGATCATGGGGAAATTCTTGATTAGGACCCTGAGCTCAAAGGACATCTGCATATAGGAGCTGACCCTCTACCTGCGAGCCTGCAGCAGAACTGTTGGCAATGGCTGGTCCCCCAGCGGCTGACTGCTCCTAGCCTCTGTCCCCCCTCAGTGGCATGTGGAAGCTAGGCTCTAGCCCAGCCCAAGCCCCGCCAGCACAGGTCTGGGAGGCGCATTCCAAGATGCAGTGTAGACACACCCTAAGGGGCCTGGCTTCGGGCACCCGTTTCTGAAAATCTTGTCCTTTAAGTTCAGACTCTTCCAAAAATAAAAACTCACTGCAGCACTGGCATTCCACTATAACAGTGAAGCAAGCAATGTCCACCTAGACAGCTCAGAGACCAGTGTACGATAGTCTCCTTTCCAAAGGCTAGACTTTACGCAGCAAGTCATCTATTGAAGTCAGTAGGACTCCTGTTTGGATAAGTGTTATTTAACATGAGCAATGATGGCAGAATGTGGCACGAAGAAGTAGTAGCTAATGTTCCAGACAGACTTCAAGTGTCTCCAGTAACTTTATATTTCCTAACATTTTAAGATCAGGAAGGAACATATAATTGAACTGCATCTCAGTGAAGTGGGTTATAAATGTGGCACAAAGACAGCTGGGTGCTGCTATTGTTTTAACAGAGATCTTACCTTACGTTAATGAGCCCATTACCGCAAATAATTCCCCTCAATATCCTCCCAGTGTCCTTAAATAACAGAGCTTGCTAGATGTGACTCGTTCTAACATTACCATGCCTAGCCCAGAGCACTGAGCTTGCTTTTGAGATACTCAGACAGTTCCTAAAATGAATCTGATTCTTCTTTATCTGAAATTCAGGGTCTGACTCTGATTCTGTAACCTAAGCGAGTGAAATACCCTCCCTGTGCAAGAACAGATGTTTTCTTTACCTTGATGTGACCAAAAACAAGTCAAGATTAAACTGCAGCGTCGTCTCAGTTTTTCTTTTAAATCTAAAGTACTCCTGATAAAAGCCAAATCTGTGTGTCGTCTTCTTGTAAATCGTTCTACTATCCCCAATGGGAAGATGGGCCAAATTTCATTCTCCACCTCTTTCTGAATAATTAGGCCAATTTTTTTTAAATGGTCCTGATAATTAGTCAACTTTTTTTAAACTAAAAATATTTTCATCCAATAAATGGCTTTCTTGTGAAAACAAAATTTTATGCAACAAAACTCAACATTTTTTCTTTTTCACAAAAAAATTCTTGCTTTTAGTGTTTGTGCATACAGGTATTTAAATGAATTCAAAATATTATTGAAAATCATTATCAAAATATTTGATCAAAAACCTGTTTTTTGGTGAATGTAAGTTTTATAACCATTTTATAATGTTTTCAATCAAAAAAATTAAAAATATGCTGAAAAAAATTCTCTGCACTGTTTTTTCAATGCCTCTCTTTCAAACTCTTCAAAACAAAAAATTACACAAAACAAAACAACTTCACCATCTCAAAAAATTTCCACAAAAATTGTTTTTTTTCCCAGCCAGGTCGCGGGCCACTGATTTGGCTGTAGGGTTTGGCCAACATGCTTTAATCAAAAGCTTCCCATGTAGAGCATTAGAAGAAAGTTATAATTAAAAAGAGAAGTTGTAGCTGAAGTTTTATTAGGCTGCTGAGCCCACACAGATCAGCAGCCAAATAGGAAATACATTTAACAAAACCTTACTTACTTGAGGCACTTGATTAATACTGAGTAGCTTGGGCAACTTCCAACTCAGCATTGTGTGTTGGGCTAGGTGGTGTTGATTTTGGCTTGGAATGCTTGTTAAATCTTCACCTCCTTAGAGACAGACTCCTACATAGTCTTCATCTATGGCCTCAGGCCAAACTCAGCGTTATCGACACCTTCCTGTCTCCTCTCCCGGCTTGTTGCCAAGACCCCCAAGCGCTTGGGTGCTAGGGAGAGCAAGAGAACAACACAAGGGAGATTGCTATGTAAGAGAAACAAACAAGGATAGGGCCCCGGGCCAGGTAACGGGATTCAAACCGTCATTGGCAGTTCTAGCTTGTGTCACATTCCTATCAGCTGCTCTCTTTTCTGTTTCTATACCAAGTTAGGGTGCCAGTTTGGGATTCTTGGGTTTAGTGAAGGCGGGTGTGATGTGGAAGGCAAGACAGTGACATTCACCCCTGTGCAAAGCCTATGCACAGAGTATGTCGCACGTAGGCCATCAAAATGGGCAGACGTGAAACCTATGCTCTGTGATGACCTTTTGCACGAGGGAATGAGTACATAGAGAGACTCGGAACTCAGCACCAGATGCTGCAGACCTTACTCAGGGCTTGGTCGGGTCCCACGGCTTTTGAGAGCAGAGGGTACCCAGAGCTGGAAGAACCAGCTTTGAGGCACAGAAAGGAGAACGGCGTCTCCATGGCAATGCCCTTCCTCCTAATCCCAGGGAAGCCTCTTCATTGGCTGAGGTACTACCAGGCTAGGCCCAGTGGTACTTTGAGACCCCAGCCCTCTGGAAACTACCAGGGGTCTCCAAGGAGGAAAGCAGGATGTTGTGTAACACAGATCCCCTGCAAGCGAGTGAAATCCCTGCAATATGGGCCAATCGGCAGGCCTCTACAGCACTGGCACAGGGGTGGGAAACAGGGTAGAGGTATTGGATCTCTGCCTTGAACACTGCGTGCAGATGTGGTCATCCCAGATATATTGGAATTGGAAAAGGTACACAAAAGAGCAACAAAAATTATTAGGGGTATGGAACAGCTTCCGTATGAGGAGAGATGAACAAGACTGGGACTTTTCATCTTGGAAAAGAAACGACTAAGGGGGCATATGATAGAGGTCTATAAAATCATGTTTGGTGTGGAGAAAGTGTTATTTATTCCTTCTCACAACACATAACATAAGAACTAGGGGTCACCAAATGAAATTAACAGGCAGCAGGTTTAAAACAAACAAAAGTAAGTACTTGTTCACACAGTCAACCTGTGGAACTCATTGCCAGAGGATGTTGTGAAGGCCAAGATTATAACAGGGTTAAAAAAACAACTAGATAAATTCATGGAGGATAGGTCCATCAATGGCTATTAGCCAGGAAGGGCAGAGATGATGTCCCTAGCCTCTGTTTGCCAGAAGCTGGGAATGAGCAACAGGGAATGGATCACTTGGTGATTCCCTGTTCTGTTCATTCCCTCTGGGGCACCTGGCATTGGCCACTGTCGGAAGACAGGATCTGGGCTAGATGGAGCATTGGTCTGACCCTGTCTGGCCGTTCTTATGCCTATGTGGACCTTGGGAGACCTGTAAGTTTGGGCTAGAGCTGAGCGAATAACCAGTATTTCAGTTTGGTGGCCGAGCTGAAAAAAACAGAGAAAAAAAGTGTTATGGATCACACCAAAATGAAAACGTCTCTGATTTCCTGGCAAAATTAAAATTTTTTAATCATTTCATTTTCTTTCATTCTGATGGGTTTTAAAACATAAATTTAGGGAAATTCAAAATTGGAACATCTTTCCAAAACAAAAAATCAAAATGTTTCACTCTGGAACATTTCTGAAACTTTTTCCCCCCCCCCCCCTTTTTTTTTTTTTTTGTAATTCGCAGATTTTTTTGGTCACCCCACAACTGCATTTTTTGGTGGAAAAAAAAAAACAAGTCTCATGAAAATTTTTACCCATGTCTAGTTTGGGCCCTGCCTATTCTGTCATGGGGGTTCAAACTCCCCACCGTCGATGGAAATATTGGGTGGCAGCTCAGATGCCCACTTGAATTGACATTCTGGGGCCTGATGCAGCCAATCAACCCACACTGAAAGCTCCCATCGGCATTGACGTGTGCTCCATTCCAGGCAGGACTGGCCCCTTTGCAGAATGTCACTTGTTTCCCATATTCTTCTGCGGGGGGTTCCCGTTACAACTGGGTGTCAAGGGGAATACGCAGCACGAGTGGCATTATTGCCTTAATGCTCCATCTAGCGGTGTCTGAAATTTCCATTTATCATCACACACAAAAATCACTCAAGAGAGAACCAGCAAAATGGCAAGAGGACCAGCCTTCCATGTGCAGTACTGTGCTACCACGCAGATGGTCTCTGCTCAGCTATGTCCTTGGACATCAATAGACTGGGGAGGGGAGATGAGGGGCAGGCGGGCTCTCCTTAAAGGAGTGGGGAGATGGGGGGGGATCCAGGCAATGTGCCAAACCTGCAGCTGTTTGGGGTAGTCTCAGGCATGGGAGCCCCTCCTCCTTCCAGCCAGTATCAGCCAAAATACTAGTTTAAGTGCTTATTGCTCCCAGTCCAATGCCACAAGGTGTGGAGTACAAACTCCTCCATGCCTAGTGACAGCTTAGTGGTGTTAATAACATGCAGCCCCTGGGAAATCAGTATGTCTCCCCCTTTATCTCAGCCCCTACTGGCAACTTTCCCTAACAGTAAAACTCCGTCTGTCCGGCCCTCTGGCCCCAGCTGGCATTGCCGAGGAGGTTAGGAGGTGGGTGGGAGACTGTCAGATGCTGAATCCTGGGCATTGGCAGCTAAA